CATAAGAAGACAAAATGATCAAAATGTAAAGAAAACCAACTTTATGTCATTTTTGGGAAACATATTTTTAAACCTGAACCCACTGGAACTGAAAAGAACTGAGCTGAGTCCGGCTAGTCAGAGTTTCTTTATTTGTCATTTGCACCACATGTTGTACACGTGGTGGAATGAAATTGTGCACACAGGGCCCCAGTTGCATCCAACAAAAGTATAAAATGTAAAAAAAAAAAACAGTAGTAAAAAAAAACAGTAATAATATCTACGATATGAACTAAGAAATATGCTAAGCATTAATGGCATAAAAACAATACGCCGAACAGCAGCACGAACGAGTCTGTAAGCAGATGAGGACGAATGAACACAGCAACATGAAACAGATCAGCAGCAACATGAAACAGATCAGCAGCAAAATGATGTCATTTTTCACAGTGATTATTCTAGTTAGAGATTCATGAGTCTAACAGCCTCAGGGTAGAAGCTGTTCCTCAGTCTAGTGGTTCTACACTTAATGCTCCTCAACCTCCTACCTGAGGGGAGCGGGGCAAAAAGTGTGTGCTGGGGGAGCTGAATGGACTCCAGATCTGTTGGAAGGCAGGTGCTGGCTGTTGGAGAGCAGGTAAAGAGTGGACGTAACCCTGATGGGTTTGTCTTTTACAGGTGTGGCTCAGGACAGGACAAGGAGGCAGGTTGTCCACAGATTCTGCAGAAAGTAGAATTACAAAGCTTCTAGATCGTCTGTAAGTTTCACACAGATTGTTGTTGATGATGATCCATGGTACGACTCAGCTTTAAGAAGAGAGGTAATCAGTTATCAGAGGAGGCAGCTGGAAATCCACAGGCCCCGCCCACTCACAATACCTGCAGTAACATAAGTGGAAGACAGAGGGAGCCAGAAACACAAACTACACAGAAAACTACCAGAATGAGTCGTAAGACAGGACAGGTCTAGACTGGTCAAGGTCATCAGTTTCCTGATCTTTCCTTTCCGCGTGTCATCAGGTTCTACAAGAACGGTTATGACCCGTTTGTTTTCTAAAGAAGTGTTGACAGTGAAAGTAACTGGTGGGACAAACCGGGCTCCCAGGAGAGACATGACAGAGTATCATCAGCGCTTCCATGTTGCGTTTTCAGTTTTTGTGGACTTGGTCAAGGTGGTTCAGGGTTCACCGTTCTTGTTTCACCTGAAAGTCCAGGTGGTTCAGATGGACCTGGAGGCTGTACAAACCCAAAGGTTTTGTTCTGGCCTCGCTTCGAGTGATAAAGCAGGAGGTTCTGCTCGTCTGGATCTTCAAACCTTCTGCTGAGACATAAAGGGCCAAGCGTCAGGCCGATGTGGACAGCTGTGTAAACATCTTTAGCTGCTCTTCATCGGCTGTGACGATGAGGAGTGAACAGATGTGCAAACATTTGCAGCTGCTCTTCATCGGCTGTGAAGATGAGGAGTGGACAGGTATGTAAACATCTGCAGCCGCTCTTCATCAGCTATGAGGATGAGAAGTGGACAGGTGTAAACATTTGCAGCTGCTTTTCATTAGTAGTGAGGATGAGGAGTTAACACGTGTGTAAACATCTGCAGCTGGTCTTCATCAGCTGTGTGGATGAGGATTGGACAGGTGTGTAAACATCTGCAGCTGCTCTTCATCGGCTGTGAGG